GTAACATTACTGGCGTTTCGATTTATAATTTTACCATCGCCAATAAAGTAAAAATAAAATAAAAAATAAGTGACAAAAGTTTGCCAAAGTATCACGAAGAGATAAGAAGAAAAGACCTCGCTAATTGCTTGCGAATGAATTCCTGGGAGATTCGTCTGAACGACAAATTATAGCACATGACAGAAACTAGCGGGACAAGATACAAGCTCGTATATTCTATACATGCGCTGTCGAAGAGGATTCCGCCGAATGATTAATATGGCTGTTTGTAAATACAGCGGTGCGAATGAAAAACTAGCCGCGCGTAGTGCGCGCGTGATATTACGAGTAGAAATTCTCAGGAGGAAGTGCTCTTCCTTCTTCCTCGGCGTGATACACTCAGTTGTTTATGGCGCTATAACAGTGAGAGTACTCATACACGAAATACATTTCGAGGAGAAACACTGCTCGGGAATTCTATTAGCCTCCATCCGGTCGAAAGATAAAAACCTCTTGTATATAACAATTGTTCGAATATAAAATATTCCAAAATTAATTTCTCTCGCATGTTGAAAGATTTTGAAGATACGATTAAATTTTTACTCTGATAAATAATTTTTGGAAAGTCTCAAGATCGATCTGTGAATCAAAATGATGTCATGTGAAACGTAAACGTTATTTTAAAGTCTTTTAAATATATACTTGAAGGAGGAACGATTTTTAAAAATGTTTAACGCCAGAAATATATCATTATTTCAGTTTTTAATTGCGTGTTGTAACAGAATGTTGTAAATCTATTATCCTGTATGTATGTTGCAATTAAGATAGCGATCATAAGTTTGAAGTAACGGACTGAGAGCCAATCGCAACGGGGGCTACGAATAATTGAATGGCTCGATATGTATGTACCGCCGGAAGTACAGGTCGATTTCTGTAACGAACGATTCCGGTGCAGAGCGATCACCAATTTTTCCTCATTATTAGAGAATATCTTTGCATTTTATCGCTCATTATTTTCCACGCCTTGGGCGCTATATTCGTCCATTTATTCCGGTTCGACCAGTCGAGTTACGCAGCATCATCGTTCTCCGTTCCAATCCCTTAGATCTGTTAATTACCTCGTCGCGATGAATAAAGTACGTGTCTCTTCGAGTCTCGGCGTCTTCGTGTAACTTGTTTTTCCTGAGAAATTAAATATCTCCCGCGAACATACATCCTCGTGAATCTTGGAATCATGTAAATTTTGAAATCTTGGCGAAACGTGGATTGCCGCGCATGAATCGCGCGATTTTCCAAAATACAAAGTTTTTCTTGATTAAGAACCTGCTCTGTATTTTTATATCTCGCCCTTTTACGCGTCGAATAAAATTAATGGAAATGCGTTCAGCGCGAGCGTCGCGCTTCTCGCAGAGGAACAGAACTCTTGTTAAGGCCACTACACGTAAAAAAATTTTAGTTATAATTGTAAAGTTGTAAGCAAATTGACCAATCAAAGTTCGCCTATTCTCTCCATGGTCCAAAAATAATACCGATTGTGTTGATCAATTTGCTTTAGAATCTCTGATAAGAAAAAAATGATGATTTTAAATGATCATTTTAAATCGAACATTACTGAAAAGTAGCATTTTAAATTATCTCTAAAATTAAAAATTATCTAGAAGGAAGAATTTGATCCAACCTATTTAAAAGACATAGAGAAACGAGTATAGTGTAAAATCTTAGGAACGATTATGACTAAAATTTCTTTACGTGGCCTTTACTTTTCCGGAACGGAAAGAATCTGCTGTCGGGAAGAAATTCGTTCTGAATTAGCGTCATTTCGCTTCCCGAGCGGCCGATCGATCGGAAACTCTCGCACGAAGCCGCGTGCACGAGCGCGACCTCGTCGAAAGCGAGTCACCTTTATCGCCTTTATCCCAGTTACTCGCGTACGGCTTCTCCCATCGACAATCCGCGTCGCGATACGATCGCGAGAGTCGTCCCCCGAAGTCTCCTCTCGACGAACGTGATTTACATGCGGTCGTCCGATGGCCGCAAATAATGACCTGTCCTGTCGTCTTGCACCCGGGATCATCGCCGTTCCTCCTTCATCGAGATTCGACGCGAACAAGCCCGGTTCTCCGGCATCGGTCGTCCTCGAAAGTCTGGCGAGGGAGAGTCGGTGCGTGAAAAATCTGGCATGAGCGAAAAATCGATTCATCGTCTCCGTACTCACTTTCTTCTTCGTTTCATTTTACATACTCGTTTGTATGTAAAAGCCAATCACGCATCTGCTTTGCATCTCGTTAATAACACGATACTTTAATTCTCGGCTGCACGATTCCTTTATAAATTTTGTTTGAGAATCTCTGATAAGAAAGGAATTTTAAAAGAACATTTTAAATCGAACATTATTGAAAAGTAGCATTTTAAATTATCTCTAAAATCTTAAAAATTATCTAAAAGGAAGAATTTGATCCAATCTATTTAAAAGACATGGAGAAACGAGTATAGTGTAAAATCTTAGGAATCCTCCTCTTAAGGATTAGATTCTTTCCAAGGATTCTTCCGAGGATTAAATTCAAGAAGGGATTCTCGCTGGATCGCAGCGATCCCACACACGCGTGTTACATGTACATATTATTTACATTTATTTTATACATGGTTCCTACGTTACATATAGACATTGTGCGCCGACCTTGTCGGCAACCCTTTACCTCTCGATGAAATTCGCTTACGGTTGCTGCGTGTGCCGAGAACGTGCGCTTTGTTCTCGGCAAAATCAACGACGGTCGGTCGGTCGGTCGGTCGGTCGGTCGGTCGGTCGACCAGTCGACCGGTCGTCCGTTCTATCCGTTCTATCCGTATGCATGCGGGTTCGCTTCGTGCGCTTCTCTTTTGCGAGTCTTCGTCCCGAGTGTCTCGCCTATCCACCTACCTACAAGGATCCGGCATCGTGCCGCATCGGGATGCCGTCGCCGAACGTGACCGAAACGGTGCGGACCGCGTACGGAATCCTTGACGTGCCGCGTCGCTATTTCCAAGTCAGCCGAGCCAGCTGGAATCCCGCACGCTACATTCCGGCTCGTTCTCTCTGTGTGAGAATCCGGTTAATTCTTTCCGGGTTCTGGCCAACGCGTCGCGTCCGGGAGAGATGTCTCGGTTCCGTCTCAAATTTAGAACGGCGCGATAGAGTCAGACATCCATCGCACCTCGCACAGCCGCTAGAGCCGCTTAAAAAAATTTATTGTTTTATCTATTCTAAAACCCTTATTCTCACATTCACATCCATGTCAAAGCTCACGATAACAATTTCTGTGGTATTTTACTTTCCATTGATTGGTTTTCACTCAGACATGTTTTTGTGTGATCTGATCTGATTTAACTATTACAAACAATTTTATCAATTCAACTATGATCACATTAAATCCAATTAACCAATAATTAACTATTAAAAACAATTTTATCAACTCAACTTGAAATTGAGTTGATAAAACGAAGTATTGTGACTCCATTCTCATCTATAAATTTTATATCTTGAACAATTGTAAGACGCCTCGAATTTTGATTAGTCGAATCTTATATGTATCATGAATAAAATTTTTATCATGAATTCTATTTTTATAAACATTAATATTTATTAAATATATTTAGCATTTTCATCTAATTTTGGTTCATACAGTTTTTTGTTTATATTTTTCATCTAAAATTATAATTCTAATTATAACTGACGTTTGCCGATTTTTCAAAAAGGTCGTTCATTATAACTAGCCCTCTGCTTTCTTCTTCTTTCTGTCTTCGGCGCGAATTTATCCTTATTCACGCAGACAGTTGCTGATCTTCCCGTATAAACACGAATAATACGATTGTTTGCAAACAGGCAAGTTTCTCGCGAGAAGACTCGTTGACTTTCAATCACATACGACGCAGACAAAAGTCGCGCTGAGATCAACGACGGACGTCGTGCTCGAGATAAATTGGTAGACTCTTTGGTAATTAACAGATAAGAGACGAATAATTCGTGGCTCGTTTTCACGCTCTAAAGGGACGCGCGCATTCACGCATGCACTTTCATTTTCTTTTCTCTCTCTTTCGCCCTCGACGAGCCGCCGGAACCCGTCAGGGAGACGTCAAAGAG